ATCGAACTATGTTTGTCAACTATCGTGCTTGTCCCAACTATAATACTATATTCGTTCTAACTATGCTACGCTCGTCTTTAATCTACCTATCATGCTATGTTCATTCTTACTACAGTAATTATAAATAAATTAAAATTTTAGTTACTATAGCGTAATAAAACTTTAAAATGTTCTTAAATATATACAAATTTTAAAAAGATTCTTAAGATTAACTGTTAATTGATGACAAGTTTTAACTTTTTGTGCAAAACGAATACCTTTTTTTAGCTTCTCATTTACTTTGGCAAAAAAGGCTGATCGCCGCTGATTAATTTTGATTATTAAAACTAGACACCTTGAACTATATGTTTGAAACTTACCAGGTCTCAGATAATTATCAAAAAAATTTTTTTCACAATGAGGGGTAAAAGATACGTGAAAGCCAATCAAATTCAAGAATCTACCTGTAGATCGTTCTAGAATGTAATTTCTAATTTGATATAATCCCAGACTAAAGTATACAGTCTGACCTCTATATAATCACCAAGTTGGTCACACTCTAATGTGGTGATTGTATAGAGGTGTGACTATAAACAAATATCAGATTAATATCATGTGATCTTTAGCCAATCAATGATTAATTGATAATATGATCATCCTATATCTAAAAGTTTTTTTGTATTAAGTTAACCACCTTTGAGTCTCTAAGTAAAGTTGTAGAGCTCATTAAGACGAATCTAATGGTGGTTAATTCATCAAAATCGGCCTAGTGGTTGCTGAGATATCTTTGAAAAACGTTTTACTGACTATATAAGTTCTTTGTAAACGATATAAAGAATTTTTCTATAGTTGGCAAAACATTTTCAAAGGTATCTCAGTATGCATTGGACTGATTTTGATGATTTAACTACTATTAGATTTAGTTTAATGAGTTCTACAACTTTACTTAGTCAAAAAACCTTTTAATTAATAAATTAGTGATTATAAGAAGGTTTTTTACATATTAATAAATTTGACTTAAAAATTAGATTTTAAGGTGATAGTGATTATAAGTGATTTATGACTATAATGCTTAAATAGAAGTGTGACTATATGGGGTGTGATTATAGAGAGGTTAGACTGTACAGTCAAACCTGTCTAAATAAATATGGTCTGTGGACAAATTTTGTATTCATTTAAACAGGATATTTATTTACAAAAAATTAAGTTATATAAAAATATTAACTAGAAAATCAGGATCTGATATAAGTCTGAAGCGAAAAATCTAAAAACTAATTTAGTCAATAAATATTTAAAATAGCATTAATGTTTTTTTAAAAACAAAACTCTTTTATAATATTATTATTTAATAAAATGAAAAATTTAAGAGCAATAAGACTTTACTATTATAGGGGAACATTAAAGCCAGGTGTAGTTAGGGTTATATTTTTAATGTAAATATCAAGAAGATACATAATTTATACAGCATATAGAATATAGGATAACTTTCTCATGATTGGTCGATCAATGAAATTAAAATAATTCGCTATGATTGGTCAAATAATATAAATCGTAAATTTAAATAATTTAACGATTACGATAAAATGATAATTTGAATAAAATGATAATTCGAATAATTTAAATTTTTTATTTAAAAATTTTATTTAAATTTTATTTTTAATAATTTAATTTTTTTATTATTTATTTTTAATTTAATTAATAAATTTTTTATTTAAAATTTTTAAAAAAATGAAAAAAATATTTATTGTAACCCTTTAAGCTTTTGCAATAAATCATCAAGTTCTGTTTTTCCAATACCACGAGAGATGATAAGTTCATCATCTTTGACTATTTCATTTTCGAGTTCTTCTGTTTCAAATTCTTCTATTCCACCTTGAACCCGAATATTTTCTGTTTTCTTTTTATTATTCTTTTTTTTATCATTCAAATCCAACAGATGTTCCAGTAATTGATCTACATTCGTCTTTATTCTATTCTGTAAAAATTGCAAACAGGGTAAACATTCTGGCCAACTTCATTCAAACATTCCACATGATATTTGTGACCACAAGCTAGTATTTTTAAATTAGGAGATAAGAGATTAGTAAATATATGAATATCTGCTTTAGTACATAATGAATAATCACACAAGATAAATTGGTTAGGTTTTTGCAAAGTACTAAAACCCAAAGGAAGGTGACAAGTATTCGTAATAATTCCAATAGCCAGCATAGATATATTGAGACCATTGACGATTTTTCTTTTTTTTTTTCCTTGGGTTAATATTTCTGGTCTGCCTGAATTTAAATCCATTACACCATCTATAGCAATTCGATTGTAAATGTTAATAAACCGCTCTAATAAAAACATGCTGCTTTTTGTGTATAGCTATTTAAATCTCTGTGACTCAAAAGATATTTTTTCTACATAGATTGATGCTCAAATAACTCTTTAAGACGTTTTTCACATTTTAAAAAATTAATAAAATGTGCTTGACATTGTAAGTGATCTGCGCCATCATGCTTTTGAGTAGTTTGTCGCAAAAGGCTGTGAAATAATTCGACAGGAGCATCCAAAAATTTTGGCAAGTGTGCTTTTAAAATTTCTAAAATAGGATGGTTAATATTTCTCCAATATGAAACATCAGATAAAAATATTAGTGGCGCCTTGTTATAATTATAATGACAAAACTGTAAAAAAAGTGTCCAAACCCATATTATTGACTCTTCATATTCTTCCCATTTACTGGCATGAAAAAAAATTGCATATATATCAAGGACAAGTGGAATTAAATTATCCAACAAATCTCTGAATGTAAGGTATTCAAGATCTTTGCATAGGCTGAATTTTTTTATAACTATATCTGAAATTCGAAGCTAGCCACGACGAGTCACCTCAAGAAGCAAATTAATCTTCCAGGGTTGAATATTAGTTCCAATATCCTTTGTTTCTCAAATAAATTATTATATAATAAAGAGAAAAATTGTTGATACTGTATATAAACAAGTTCGCGGCTGTTTAAGAATATATGCAATGGTCCGATGATAGGAATGAATGATAACACATCTTGAGAAATATTAGACTTATCACCGTACGTTAGAAACCGTGATATCACACTTCTTAAAAATATTTGACCAGGCCAATCAGCCACAAGGGGTATTATATAACCTGAATCGAAATATTCTCACATAGTATTCACTTTTCTAATAATAGACAAACTTTCCAAATAATCGTTAATAGAATGTAGATTATTTTTTACAAGATCGATGAGAATGATATTATTTAATGATCAATCATTCATTCTTTCTTTAAGCCGAAGATCATAACTATGAATCATTAATGTTTCTATAGTTTCTTCTTCATTTTCACTTACTTGACTTTTCCATTGTTCATTAAAAGATATTCCTAACAATTCTATAAATCTATTCTCTAAATCAACCTTTAGAGAGTCAGCATTGACGAGCTTTGGATTATGAATGCTTATATCGTTAAAATTAATAAAAATTGGTAATATTGCATTTATTAGATTCAGAAGAATTGTTGCCATATAAGTTGGGGTTGATGTTTCACTACTTTTTGGGACATGATTTGTATGTATATTATAATAATCGTCCACGTTTAAGACCAAAGAAGTCTCATGGTATTTTTCCAAATGGTTGTTTATTGTATCCATATGGCTTTCTAAAATTTCTTTTTTTTTTACGCCAAACTGTTTGGGATATTAATGTAATACCGAGTTCTGCTAAAGCATTAATAGTTGAATCACCTGTGCCTGTAGAATCAAGATAAAGAGCTAGATCATGCTTTACATTAATAATAAATTTGTTACGTATACCACAAAGAATATAACAAACGAGTAGCAACTGGGACATAATTTTAGGATACGATTCACGCTTTTTTTGTGACAAATTTGCTGATAATACAAGTTCATCAAAAAAAGCTTTCAAATGCCTATCTTTAGCTTCTATGCAGGTACAAAATTCTTCAAATATCCGAAACACTAACAATTTTTGAGTAACTTCATACCAATATAAAACCTCAGTCATAAATTTTATTATATTTGAAAAAGACATTACCTCCAAGATATCCTCCTAAGTATCAACCACTAAATCAGGATAGTCTTCAATACCAGCAGATTGAGTATGTTCTTTTATCACAGCCAAAGGTCAAACAACTATTCTATTGTAATACCACTGGCATATCACATCGTTGACTTTTAAGTAAGCTGGTAAAGTTTTATTTTACTGAGCCCGTTCTAGAACAAAGTCAGTAACCTTTTTAAGGGCTGATTAGAAGCTTCAGCACACACGATTACTACACATTGTCATTCCTCAAGATTAAAATCTATTTCTTAATGAGGTATACTTAGATGTGGTAGATCTTAAAGATACACAAGATACTTAAAGCTTTCTTTGCGAAGAGTCTTTGAGAATAGTTTAACCGGTTCTTAATTATTAAAACAAAAAAATTTACTATCAGGGGTTGTAAAAGTACTCTAAACTGTATAAATTCAATTGAATAAAATTGATCAATCATGAGAAAGTTGGCCTATATGCATGTAGATCATTTCCGAGTTTATACCAAATACATCTAGCTTTAACGGACCCCTATAATTGTAATCGAAATCAATTTTTGTTTGATTACAAAATAACTCCTTAAAAAAGTACTTTAAAAGTATAACGATATTTAACTTGACTAAAATGACCAATCATAAGAAAGTCTTTCTATGACGTTATCCAAAAAAATTATTAATCTAGATTTTCACTCCACAAAAAAAAAAGAATCTAACACCTAGAATAGTTGCTTTCTAGCTTTTAACACTTGAATTCTTTGATTTAATTACTATACACATCTAAAAAAATACACTTTAAATTAGAAACAGGTGCTGGTAATTATTTTCATATATAGGGCCTTTGCTATGATTTTTTTTTACTAAAAATAGATTTGTTATGATTTTACTAATTAAAATCTTGTGTAACAATAGCTCGGAGGGTCATTTTGTTAGCAAAAGCCCCATATATTAAAATCTTTTATTATGAATTTTAATATACTCAAACAAATTTCAAACTCTAAGACAACAAGTATGTAAGTACAGTAAACTTTATCTATACCGAACTAAAGCTGCTAAAAGAAAAAAAAAATTCAGTATAGAAATTACTACTTTTTATAATGAACTATTTAGAAAAACCAAAATTGTTTGTTTTATTCAAGTTCGTTAGACTTAGAATCGACTATAACACATCTGGTTGCTATGTAACAAGATAATCAATTATTATATTGCATTTATGAAAATTCTAATAGTAATTAAACAGTAGTCATATTTGTTTTAAATAAAATATACAGGGTATAGCAGTTGAGTAAAATGGACACTACAGTTCTAAATTCAATTAAAATTGTTTCAACTTATGCTATCAAAGAAAACAAGCATTTTTCTTCATTTTTTTTTTCTTGCAATCTCTTACAATGCTTAATTCTTTGAAGCCTTTCTAGTGAAAACAGATCAAAAAAGATATTCTTTAGAGCACAGGCCCAAGAAACTGCCACAAATAAAAGATCAGTAGCATATTCTTTGTTTCCAAGATTTATTTTAGCACTCGTCAGTGTTAATTCTTGGCTCTTATGTACCATGATAGCCTAGACAAGATTAAGAGAGATTTGTAATCTTGAGCAGGTTTCTGTATTTGTATCCCATGAACATTGAATAGGTGTAATCAGGATGGTTCTTTTATCTTCTGTAGATATAATTGTAGGACTATTGTAGGCATCGAATTCTATGAAAACAGCAATAGGAAGAGAAGGTGGTTTCTGATTTTCTTTGAAAAATAAGTTGCAAACTGTTCCTATTGCACCATTAACTAAACTGGCTTCTACATACAAATTAGCTCTGAGCATAACATGAGTGCCCTTAGCTAAAAGAATTTGTGATTCAAGACCTTTCGCCATATCTGAATCAGCCTTTGACACTTCAGCTCCACTAGTATAAACTGCACAAATTCTAGCAATAGGCCTATTTAATGACTTTAACATATTTATATTAATTTTAGCAACTTCGTTCGAGGTAATATATATGTAGCATTTAAGAATTGGTTATTATCTATAGACATTGTACTTGGTGAACTTTTAAATCGAATGCTGAGTGCATTTCAATCTTCAATAGTAGATTTACAATCACAAAGCCATATTAAAATATTTCGAAATTGATATTGCTCTTCAGAATCATAGCTTGATACTAAACAACATCAAGTTGATAAACCTCCTGAAACTGCCTATAAGCTGAAATACCATCGTTTGATAAAGGGTCATGACTACGATTTTGTGTATACATAGGCTAATCAAGCACTGGTGGAAGTTGGCCAAAATCACTGAATAATATAACCAATCGACCACCAAATGGTTGATTTTGGTTTTCAAGAAAGGCTTGCTATAACTGCATGTCAATTAAAGCAAGCATGCGACGTCCAACCATACTTTTCTCATCAATTATTATATATCTAACACCATTTATTTTTTTTGCAGTTGTTTTAAATTTTCACCCTTTATGTCAAAGTTTGCGCCACTTACTGGAATTGAAAGTGCTGAATGGATCGTTGTTCCATGAATATTGAATACCGCAACCCCCATTGGAGCAAGAACAATTACAGAGGAGTTTTCAAAACTACTTCGATTTGCTATCCCTTGCAGTTGTTGCTGAATTGTATTAATCAAATATGACTTGCCTGTCCCTGTGGTTCCCATGATAATAACTCTTAGAGACTCAATAATTTCGTCTGAAATAATGCTATTATAGTGAGATTCAAGCTGTTTAAATATCTTTAATTGATTTTCGTTTAAAGTTTGAAAATCTATAGTATCGTAAACTAAACTTTCATCATTAATAGCTTCGTTGCAACAGATTTGCTGTATAAACATGTCTACATCAGCAAGATTAAAATTTTGATAGTATTGCCTAACATCTCTGAACCAGTCATGATTTTGATCAGCATCACATACACCTAGATAAAAAAAAACTATTAAAACTTGCATTAAGGCCTATTCCTGCTAAAATCATCCAATCAGACAGAACTTCCTCTTCTTTGGTTTCTAGTTGATAATCTTCAACATCTTCATCAAAATCTTCTACTTTATCAACAGATGGACCAAGCATGTCAACAAGCTCATCTTCAATATCAACCAGATGTCAATTAAAGAGTTCACACTATGAAACAGTGTTGTTTTTAGTTAGTTGGTCAATACTTCTATAGCGAACATGAAGTAAAACCTTTGTATGACAGAATTCTTCCTATTGGGGCTATTTCATTGCGGAGATGGTCGTGGCCAAATACGTACGATGTTTTCACGATCATATTTTTTCCAAATATCTCTATACAATTTATATCCTAGATACAGTTGAAATAGCGAAAGATCCTCAAGCCCAACTGGTCTGTTCTAATATCTTTGTAAAGATAATTGTTCAGTTTGACCAACTTGGCATGTTGCCACAAAACCTTCATTTCTAGTTCCACAAAGCCAACATGGTGCCTTCTTGTTAAGATTTAATGTAACAAAGCAACACTGGAGTGATAAAGTGGAATACCAAAAAGAAGATGACATGTTTCCTGTGCAGATATATCACATTCTGCGACCGAATGAAGCAATAAACGCTAAAAAATACCAAGTGAAGAATCCAACGGATTACTATCATGAAGAATGTGATTTAATATTTCTGAAAATATTGCAGACCATGGTTCCGATTTACTTGCATATTTAGCAACATATTGTAGAATGGCATGAATATTTAAAAGCAGCTTTAAGTCAACATTTGCATGCCAATCTTGTAGCTGAAGACGGTTATACAGATTGATGTAAGGATTGTTTCGAGCAATAAGAAGTTCTGGTTGACCGTTATTATCATGAATGAAGGTATGACCGATATTGTCCTTAGGATATCCAAATTGACATTTCTGTTGGCCTTTTTTATTTACGTGAAGACAATAAGATGAACTACAAGGTGTGTGATGTTGTAGTTTGTTAATGAGTTCAATGTAATCTTGTAAATCATCACATAATTCTTCGCTTCTTTTTTGGTATGAGTGGCGATTAGGAGCAGATATGTTAAGTCCAGGATTAATCATAGTAACTAATGAGTCCAAATATTGAATTATTGCATTCATTTCTTCTTCACTATTTTTAATCTTTTCCCAATCAAACACAGGAGCATCTTCTATTTTCCTGATATCATGTATGTGAACGCTACCTTGGTACTGCCATTCGTACCTATACCACCAATCCACCAGTTTCTATTTAGGGATCAAAACCTTTTCCAAGAAAGTTGTAAATCGTTTTTCAAAAAACCAAGCGGCGATGTGAGGATTATCTATTAAATCTTGACGTTGTCATTTAGAAGATCCTTTATCAGATTCTCTATCTACTGGATTGTTACTATGCGGCATAAGCTTGTGAAGCTCTGGCCAGTATAAATCAGCGGCACTAAAGGTAAAAAAAATCATTCCATGTGCCTTTAGCTGCTTGATCATATCTGCTAATTCATAATGTCATCTTTTTCAGAATTGACATGTTCCACACAAATCTTCACCAAAATATATTACTTTGTCAGCAAGATGACAATCACTATTTGCCAATTCCTGTACTTCTTCAACATTGAGCTGACTGCTATTTTGACTTTGCTTTACAAAGATTCTTCTTTCTTGCAATGCTTTTTATCACATTTGCGAATTTAGAGCAAAGTAGCACCATTGAGTATGATGTCCAAATTGACCATCCTTATACTTGAGTAAATGCTTAAAATATTTGGCTAGTTTGACTTCTCTGGCATGATCTGCATGAAGATTAGCATTACCTGTTAGAAACAGAGTTGGAAAAGCGCAAGCTATATAACCTGGAGTGCTAAATTTGTTTATAGGATTCTCTTCTAGTTCCGGCCACATAATTGGATTATTTTCATTTTGCAATCGAGCAAGAGTAGTGCTCCTAGGTCTGGTCTGGGTCTGGTCCAGTTTGGGTCCGGTCTGGGATCAGACCAGAATCAGACTCCAAATTTTACTAATTTCAGACTTCAGACCAGACTCAAACTCAACTATGAGTTTGGTCCAGGTCTGGTCCGAAGTCTGCAGACTGATCTGAGTCTGAATATAATTATATATATTTTATTTATAATGAAAAATCTGGAAGAACAGATATTCTTTATCGAAAAATTGTTGGAAGTTGTTTTGGAGTTAAAAAAGATGAATATAAGTCATGTATTTATTATCAACAATTTGCAAAGATGGAGAACAGAATTAGAACAGTTTATGTTGGATCTTATTATCTTAATGAAATTGAAGTTGAAAATGATGAACAAAAGACATTTATCTATTTTCAAAATTAGGAGAAATGGGTGACCCAAGAGTGATACGTAATCTTGGTTATTGTTATGAATATAGAATTGAAGTTGAAAAGGATGAACAAAATGCTTTTAAATATTATTTAAAAAGTGCCGAATATGGTGATTGTTGTGGAATGTATGGTGTTGGTTTCTGTCATCAGAATGTGATAGATGTAGAAAAGAATAAAGATTTAGCATTTGAATGGTATTTAAAATCGGCTATTACTGAACATGAATACTATGCTAATAGCTATTACTGAACATGAATACTATGCTAATAGCTATTTTCGTTTGATAGAATACGATAATTTTAGCAACATTGAAGAAGTAGATAGAGGTTGTTTTTATGTTGTGCATAAAACATCATACGTATAAAGCATCATATAAAGCATCATCTAAATTGGATGAAGTTGTTGCAATCAAGATAATAAAAGATTCGCATAAAAATTCAAAAACTTTTTTTAAATGAGGTATTTAATTTTTTTTATGTATAAATTAATGCAGTTTATGAATTAATTATATATCATTTCTATTTTTTAGTTAAAGGCGTATCACGAATTTGGTAAATATCATGACATATCAAAGGATAAAAATAATGGTGATTTTATTTTAGTGTTAAAATTACGCAAAATTTGGATCATTACATAAAAATCTTGAAGATATATTTAAATTGGAGTAGAAATTTAAACTAAAAATATTATGTGTTATTATTAATGATCTATCAAGGGTTCATTCTAAAAAGTTTTTTACATTCCGGCAATATTTTACTAAAAGAATGATATGAAGCTTATATTGATTTAAGTTCATCAATATTGTCTGATGAAAAACAGGATGCCCATATTTATAGCGTTTTGC